AAATTTGACATTGTGAACGAACACCTAAATTTTGAGATTTTTGTTGACCTTGGGGTGATGGTCGTTGTTGCATTGATCCAAAGGAGGTGGAGGACTGCTGACATGGAGGAAACGTTCCACAAGATGGTGCATGGCCGTGGCCCCGAGAGAATTGACGAGAGTTGTTGGGCTTGAAAGGCTTGGAAGCCACCAATGCAGTAGATTGAGCTAAAACCGCAAGCGATGTATCTTCAATCAAAGAGAGATCCTCACAGATTAACAGTGGATGAAGTTCTTCAATAAATAGGGTTGAAGTCTTAGCGTGAATACGAACCAAGGAACAAAATTGTCGGTATGATGGTGGCAGCCCATCGAGGATGTGAATAAGCAGATCATCCTTGCTTAGGGGAGAGCCATAGGCTACCAGCTGGTTAGAAATGAAATTAAATTGCTGGAGATATTCAGCCATAAATTGAATGCCCTTCTTGAGTTGAGTCAGTAGCCGTTTGAGGGACATCACACGGGCAGGTGCTGCAGACGCATATCTATTTTTGAGCAGATCCCATGCTTGCTTGGCAAAAGTAGGTCCGACAATATTTGGAGGAGCAAAGTCACTTAATGTGGCATTGATCTAGGATAAGAGCAGCTGGTCATTTTCAAACCAAGTTGGATATGTGGGATCATTAGGTGAAGGTGGAGGAATAGAGCCATCAACATGATGCATCAAGCGATGACCACATAAAATAGGCGTGAACAAGGATTTCCAAAGGAGATAGTTGGAGGCATTCATTTTGATTGGGATGAGGCTAGAAATGTTCGAAATCACAATAGGTAGTGACTGAACTAGGGTAGTGACAGCGCTAGTAGCTTTAGAATTGGTGGAGGAAGCCATGAGGAAGAAGAAGCAGGATCACAAGTAATGCTATTACGCAGAAAATTCTGATACCATAAAAAAAGTAAATAAACCTTCAAAGTTTTTTATTTTCCTTATTCTTCTATTGATGTACAGAATAAGTTTAAATAGATACACAATTACATTATGAGAGCAAATTAATTCCTTAATTCAAGGAAAGTATCCTCAAATTGAGGAAAGAATTTTAAATTCAAATCAAGGAAAGTATCCTTAAAAATTTTAGGACGATATGTTATTAGTCTCCGAGCCAAGATCTTTGGGGAATAGGGGGTCGAACTGAAAAAGGAACTCATCGGAGATGTGGGAATCGAGAGAGAAGGCTAGGGTGAGGACGCTGGTTGGAAGTCATTGGACGGCAACAGTGGAGGCGCCTGGTCGTGCGTGGCCAAGGAGGCGAAGTGTGTCTGGCCGAGAACCCAATCGAAAGAGTTGTTGTTGTTCCTCTTTTTCCCCTCCTCCCCCTTCGGATTTTCTCTTTCTCTGCTTAAGGACGACGCCTCACTTGACGATGCCAGCTCTGCCCCGACCAACAACCCCTCTCGACCTTCTGCCGATGCTGCTGTCTTGTCCCTTGCTTGCCTGGTACGGGTGATGCTGCTCTCTATAGTGAAGAGAGGAAGGGGGAGAGAAAATAAAAGGGTTGGGCCGAGGGGAAATGAAAAGAAAAGAAAGAGGCTGGGCCAGACCCAAGCGGGAAAAAAAAAAGAAAAGAGGCCATCGGCCCGGCCCCACTTCGTTTTCTTTTCTCTTTTTTTTTTCTTCTTTTGTTGGTATTTTTCTAATAAATTCTATTACTATTTGCTTATTGTCCCTCCTTTACACTATCTTGACCCATTATTCATTGTTCGAGTAGTATCTAGCCCTCACTAACCCGTCATAAATGTCAATTGTACGCACACTCACGTTCTTGATTCGGCTAGCATTAAAATAATATGACATTTACCTTGTCCGCATGATCGAGGAGCGGATTGTTTTGGACATTTGGCCGAGTGGTTTGGAAAGAGAAGGGCTTTGTGTCCAATAGGTTTTGGATTCGATGCTTGAGTGTAGTTACAAACTTGTTCATTGAAGTCTTAATTAGTAGACCGGAAAGTTTGAGGTCCTAATAACAACATTTAAGGGGTCAATTTAGTAAAAATCTCGGATTAGGTCAGTCTAGCCTTCAAAACTGTTCTCAACTGAGTCCTGGGTGAAAATAAATTTACTGGGAAATATTGGGGGGTTTTCAACAAAAAGTCAAAACATGAAAAATGTTAAAAGACATGTTTTCCTAATTGCCTATAAAATTTGACACATTTTTTACTTCATTTGCTATTTTTCCTGTTATTTTTCAAATCATGGGCATAGTAAAGAATGTAATACACGTATATGTGCATATATACAAATATATATAGGCACACGTGTCTATTAGTGAGAAAATGGGTGATAACCGTATCTCATAATATGCTATGTCATCCGCGTGCGTTGGAATGAATAATTTTATGCAATGCTGTTAATGGTTTCCATTAGTATATCATGATAAGTAGGGTAATATATTCACTCTTGCACTTGTCATACATAGTGATTTATATTGCTTTGAACTCACGCCGTTTTGCACCTGGTTGAGTGGTGAGGTGATCTCCTACTTCAAATTTAGAGATTTCGTTTAGTGGGCTTTGGCTTACTTCCTTATTTTTTAGACATGTAGGATAAAACTCCCACTACCACTGCTTTTTGGAGCTCTAATGCATTTTCATTGTGTATTTGAAGATTTACTTATACATGGATCCGCAATAGTATATACTAAGTGTAGCTCCACCATATGAGTTGACGTAGGGTTTCTAGAGTGGGTCCCTCATTTATTCATCGTTTGGTACATGAATATCGATGGTGAGCTAGTGGGACCATTCAGGGGCTTTGATGGCGACGACGGTGGCGACAAGTCGATGGGCGAAGTGGTCAACTTGTAGCAAATAGCTTGAATTTTGTATAGGCAGGCTTTTGGGCATAGGAGTATAGTGGTGGAGATAGGTGACCCTAACTCTTCCTAGGACATGTATTTCGTGTTTTGCTTGGATGTTGTATTAAGCTTGTAATACTGATGTTAATATACAAAATAAGCATATGTATGTTAATTAAACGCGTGCAACTTCTTGTATGAAATGTTGTGAAAATTTTATGGTACTTCCACATGCTATTACTTAAAAGAAGATATATTTAGAAAAGACATGTGTCGCGAGTTACGTTATGAGATGTCACAGATGAACCTCAAGGGAGTTTAATGGATTGCCAAGCGGGCGCGAACGATCCTCATGCAATGTGACACTTACGCTTAGTATGGGCCCTCCAACCCTATTGATCATAACTTGGTTTCTATATTCCAATTATGCCATTCTTTTTTGCTTTAAGAGTCGTCACTAATTTATTACGGGCCGATTAGGGGCCAAGTAAGACGCGGGAGCCTGCCTTACTTCCGTGAACCAGAGATTGGGGTCAGATGACTTGATTATGATAGATATTATCTAAATGTGCAAATTTAGTACATTTTCTCTTTTTTTGGAAAACGCTTTATATGATTTTTCTTATCATTATTATTTTATTTTTTTAAAACGTGGAAATCTGAATTATCATGCAAGGGTACTAACATAAAAGAATTTAAACAATGCATTAATCAAATGTGATACGAGAGTATCAACCAAAGTAAAATGCGGTAAAGAAAAACACGAACCTTTGAGACAGGACCCGTGAGGTATGCATTTAATCTATACTAAGGAATGCCAATTTCCTAGACTAGATGATGACAATGAGGCCGAATAAAATGAAACTAAGCTTGAATCGAACCTAATCCCATGATATAATTTCTACCTAAATGCAAATTTGTAATGTTTTTTATATTTTTCATTCATATTTACAGAAGAAATAAATTACAACCTAGACTAAATTAATGCATGTTGAAAGATAACAAACGAGTTACAACGATAAGGATTGAGCTTAAAATTAAACTCATCAAACAGGTGGATCAGGTCGGGTCGGGTAAAAAATGGTTTGACTCAAATTGACTCATTTAAACTGTTTTGACCCATTTCTATTCAAGACAAATCTAGTGACTCATACTCGACCTAATCTATACCCAACCTGACTCATATTACTAAAACACTTCTATCTTTAATCCAATCTAGGAAAACTCATACCTAAACTGAGGTGGGAGCATAGAGTGAGCGAGCGAGCGAGCGAGCGCAAAATCGAGTGAGGTCATGAGAGAGTGAAAAGAGAGTCATAGAGATGAGTTGGGTTTAAGTAAGTTATGAACCCATTTAACACTTATATTATTTCGTACTTTACCATTTTAAACTCATTCGTGACCCATTTAGTAAATATAATAATCCATATAACAACCCAGCCCATCATTGTGGGTTAAGAAATGGGTCTATAACCCATTTTGACAAATCTACTTAACAGATGCAAACACACGTGATGACATGAAAATCATGCAAACACATAGAGGGAACGGCTTGAGACTGCTCGAGGGCTTCGACAAGACCAAAATGGGGTTGAAAGCTCGTTGTTCAGCCCCATATATCAGCAGGCTTTGGGCTTCATCTTGCATGCCAAATGACACCAAAAAAAGGCCAAAACACTCCGATGAATCTACGGGGCATTGGGGCTCATGAGGGCCGCCCCGAGATACGTCCGGGGAATGTTAATTAACCCAAAAACCTTATGAACGCCCGCTGTCCAGCACGGACACAACCTGGATAGCTGGCATTAGTACTTCATCAGACTCAAAACCGGTTCAGAGAAGTTCCAAAAAATCAACCTGAGGCACCCCTGAGCCATAAGGATGCGTGAGGATCGGCCCGGGGCTCATCAAATGAGTAAGTTAACACCGGCAGCTTACTGTCCATATCTCGGGCAGCGGCTTATAGCCCATCAAAACCGAGCAAATCTAGTCAATGCAAAACGGAATCAACGAGGATTTACTACAACGTGCCCTTGTACCAAGATGAAAAGTAAATGGAGGCCTAACGCTCATTGTAATGTACATCAACGTGAGCATAAGCAAAGATAACGAAAAATAGCAACAGGCAAAACGAAGAGGCAAACTCACAGCCGAGAGTTGGGATGTGGGTTCAAGGCATGACAAATGACTATAAGCAAAATAAATACATGATCTAAAGATAAAACGACACACAATCAAACACCATGGCCGAGCTATTCAACCGACAAACCCAATAGGACTAGGCAAGCCATCAAACTTGGCTTTCAACTTCAGTTCTATGCTCAGAGGACACGGTGAATGAATAAAAAATAAACAAAATGAGATCAAGACACATAGAAATGACAAAATCCCTACCTTGAATGATGAAGGAAGTTAGATAAACCCAACACTCACGGCCTCTCCTCTCCTCCTCTCGGTTCCCTTTGGTGCTCACGGTTCCAGCTTTTTTTTTTCTCTCTTGGTCTCACCTCACTTGCTCAGTCAACCCTCACGTTTTTGCTCTCTATCACACTCAAGAGGATGTCCTCAAACGTTTTCTGATACTCTTCTGGGCATGTCTTACTCTTGATGACCATTCAGCTTCACATTCACTCACGTGCAGCTCCTCCAAGGATGTCAATACCTCAAGGCCTTCGATGTTGCAGATCCTCGAGCACTGATGGATTTCCAGGACTTTCAACATGGTGAGGTCGGATATGTTGGGCAACCTGTCTAGCGAATTGCAGTTCTTGAGAGACAGTCTCTTCAATGACCTCAATTTGGAGAGGCCGTCGAGACGTTCTATCCGGCAATACGACATGACCAGGATCTCTAGGCGTTTTAGCTCTCCAAGCCCTTTAATCTCTTCAACAGCCGAGTTCAAGAGCTCTAGCTCCGACAAGTTAATCAAATTCTGAACTGTCGGCAATCTCTTCAGTGACAAACAAGCTTGGATCGACAAAACGGACAACGATGAGGGAAGCCCCGATACTCCTTGAAGATTTGTGCCCGTCAGGATGACTTTCTTGAGCTGAGGAACACATGCAGAGCCGTATTCAAATCCCAAATTGAGGATTTGGGAATGAGACAACTCTAAGCTCTTGAGCTTTGGAAACCTTATAGGCCAAAGAGTCCGAGGGTTGGTCAAAGTGGATGCGGGGTCAAATGCTGAGTGAGGAATTATTAGCTCCTTGGGATTCTCATTGCCGAAGCTCAAGTCTTCCAATTCAACCAAGTTCTGAATATCTGGGATTGTGCTCATCTTCTTTGAACATATTCGCAGACAAGTCAAACTTGAGGGAAGCATTGGCAACGTTTCAAGGTTGTCACAAGGAAGTAAATCAAGGGTCTGGAGATGGCTTAGCGACTGGATTGATGGTGGTAGGCTAGAAACACAACTATATCCTAGGATCAATATTTTCAGGAACTGTAGATTGTGAATGGTACTAGGAATGCTTCCCCCCAAACTCTTACAGTGGGAGGCATGAATCTCTTCAAGCTTCCTTAGCCTGCCAATAGCACTAGGAAACTTTCTCACATGACAACGCTCCATCTTAAGAACTCTCAGTAGCTGCAGGTTTCTCGTGGAGTTCGGCAGTTCCGAAATAAGGGTCCCAGATATGTCCAACTCCACCAATGAGGACCCTAATTTGCCGATAGATTCTGGAAGTTTCTGTATCCTCTGGCAGCCCCTCAATGACAACCGTTTGAGTTTCACCAAACTTCCAATTGAATTGGGGAGTTCGGGGATCTTCACATTGTCCAGCAAGAGCAGTGATAGAGCTTCTATAGAGCAAATGGAATTGGGCAGGGAAGTTAGTGAGTAGCAATTGGAGGCACTAAGAGTTTCGAGTTTCTCCATATGAGCTATCGATTTGGGGATTTCTTGTATAGAAGTGCCATCTATGAGAAGCTCTTGCAACGCTTCCATGTAACCCATTTCCTGCGGCAACTCACAAAGATTGCTGCAGGATTTCAAATTCAAGGAAACCAACAATCTTAGACGACAAATTGAAGGGTCTATCTTGACCAATTGAAAACAGCGTTCTAGAATTAACATCTCCAATAGCGGGTAACCGGAGAAGTTGGGAGTTACCAGCATTTCATTGCACCCTGTGAGGTTCAAAACTTTTAATCGTGGCATCTGCAATCCAACATAGAATTTACATTTCAGTCAAAGTTAATTCCCGATCATGAGTCGAACTAAATGAAATTTGTTTCATGTCACCTTGATTTGACTCCAACCCCCCCAGTTTTGAGTGACCTTGCTCCACGATAAATCAAGAATCACCAATTTCTTCAGATGCAAGTTCATGGCTTCATAGGTCACGGGGCACCCTCGCCAGTCGAGCCACCTTAAATTGGAAAGTAGATTCGTGAAATCTCCCCCAATATTTGCATTGTCCAATTTGAGGAACCTCAGCTTGGACAGGCTTCGAAATTCTTCACATGTGAAACAATATGGTAAGCCATTGTCGAACTTGAGACAGAGGGCTTGAACCCTTCTCGTTCCCTGTAGATTGAAAGAAGAAAAGACAAGTGAATTATAGTGCTTAGAATTGTTTGAGAATTTGTCTTCGTGCCTTACGTGAAGAAGTAAGACGCGGCTTCTTTTGAATTCCAGAGGAGCTTTTGGCGTTGTAGACCAATAAATCTTGTGGATGAGATTTGTGACTTTCTTTATAAGATTGAGAAATTGTTTCGCGAGAGATTATGAGGGATACGCATTGTGTGAGTTCCTGGGTATAATTGGGCATAAAAAACACTAAGAGCGATTGAGTGAATCGAGTGTAGTTGTAATCCTCGTGTATTGCTTGATTTATAATGAAATCTCATTTGCTCTCCCCTTAGAGTAGGTCACTTTTACCGAACCACGTGAATTTGGTATTCGATTTACTTCCTTATTTTGAATATTTTATTGTTTAATTTATTGTTTTTCGCAATAATTGATATTAGAGTTAGGCTTGGTTGAGTTAAAGCAATATGATGGTGATAGAAGAAGGAAAAAATCAACATCTTTTATGGGAATATTTTGGATTCTGAAAGATGCATATTGAGGATTATTTGTACTAGAGAAATCTATACATACCCCTGTCTAGGAAGAAGCTAGATTTGATGAAGCAAGCTGATTGGGACATACATTGGGAGTATTAAGCTGTTGTTGGCTCATAACATCGCGTTTAACATCGCAATAAAGAAGATCATTGTGGGACTGATGAATGCCTTATCGAGAATGTACTAGAAACTCTTTGCAATCAACAAGGTCTAGATGATGCAACATCTATTTCACTTAAAGATGGATGAAGGTGGTTCGATTGTTGAGCATATTAATGAATTCAATGTGATCATTACTCTATTGAGTTCGGTTGAAATTGACTTTGATGATAAGGTTCGTGCTTTGATTCTATTATCCTCATTGCCTGATCGTAGGAAATTACTGGTGTTAGTAATTTCTATTGGTCAAGAAGCTTGCCACTTGGTGAGGTTTGCAATTTGATTCTGAGTGCAGACATTCATAGAGGAAAATATGATGCACTCGTGCCTACTACTTTAGTAGCTGATGATATAGCAAGAGCTAGTACCCATGTTAGCAAGATTTTTTTTTGGACGTAACAAAGGCTTATAATTTCATTTAACAACTAGCCCTCTAGAGTAAGGAGCATCAAAGCACAGGATCTCCCATAGAGGGGGTAGTGGGTATAAAACCCAATAAGTGAAAGGGTCTTAAATCTTAAGGCCTTTACAACCTAATATGCTAGTTTATTTGAATTTCGAGGGCATTAGGCTAGCTCAGGACTCTCAAAAGGGCCAAGAAGCCTAAACATTCTACGATAAGAGGCTCAATGTCCTAGGAGTAGGGAGAGGAATCTTGCAGGAAGCTTATCAAGGTGGAGTTGTTAGTTTCCAGCACAAATTTCTGTCTAGATCGGCCAGCAAAGTGTCGGAGAGCGTGGAGACAAGCAAGGGTTTCAGAGTGAAGGGTGGAGGACACTCAGATTGGTTGCGTAGCTCCTTCGATCAATCTCCCTTTAGAATCATGGCACCCGAAAGCAAAAGCCCCTTCTGTAGACCTTGGGAGATGCGATCCATCAATATTAATCTTCAGTGTCTTTGGTTGTGGTGGTCTCCACCTCGGAGGTAAATCTTTCGATGCACGCTCTCCCTCCTTGTTACTCCTAGTCCACTTTGCATAATTATAGTGCATGGCAAAAGCTGAGTCTACTATGCTTCTAGGACTGGAAATCTAGTATTGGAAGACAAAGGAATTACGCGCTAGCCAAATATTCTAGAGAGTGGCTGCGACAATCTCAAAGGGTAGATTCTTTTGGGTCAGATCTTTGTAGTTCAGCAACCACTTCTCGATTCTAGTCACTTATTGGTGAGAGAATTGGAATTTGAATTATGGCCTAGACCAAACCTACTTTGTCCTGTCATAGAGGAGGAATAGATATTCCACCATTTTGGATTCCTTGCGGCACATGGGGTAGTGAGGCTCAGGTAAAATCTTCCTTTTATACCCTAGTTGATAGAGCATTTTGGCAAATGCTTCACATGAATAATCTGATGTTGGGGAGTGTTTTTAGTTTCCAGATCTTGCTCTACATATAATTGGGCATTTGATAGGAGGTTGAAGCCTGCACATTGTCTTGTGTGGTTTCAATCTTACGAAGTTGATTAACCACTTTTAATCGAGTAGCACCCAAACTAATTCGCTGTCGAAACTAGCTTATCCTCTGTCGAGATGATTGGTAGTGGAGTTGCTAGAATTTCATTAACGATTTGCCCATCAAAAAGATTCCCCAATAGTTGTCCCTTCCATTATTGTTCTGCTGAGTCGATCAATTCATCAACCATATTGGAATTTTGTTAGTTATATGGCCCTCCCAATACACCCCTTTCCAACCGTCTATCCTCTATGATTTTGATTTGCTGGCCACTACCCACTTTCTATCTCACCTCTTTTTAAATGGCTTCTCTACCCATTAGTAGGCTTTGCTAACCCCATAAAGGGCGAGACACCGCATATTGTGGCAAAGCTTGTACCGCCACTTTGATTAATATTTCTTCTCCAGCTCTGGAGATAAAATTCTCTTTCCAGCGTTCCAACTTCATGTTTACTCTTGCCAGTATCCATGCGAACATCTATTTTTTTGTTTAGCCCCGATTCGGCGGGATGCCTAAATACTTTCCTGTTTTGTCAATCTCTAGAATGCATATCTCTTGGGCCATGTTCCTTCTCAGCTGAAATGGGTACCCCGCACTAAAGAAGATACTTGATTTGTTTAGCTTGATTTCCTGATCTGATGCGAAGCAATATTAATGAAGGATAGATGCTAGGTTTTGGCATTACCTAACCTTTCCATCAAGGAAGAAGATAAAATCGTTTATGAACAGTAAATGGGATAATGTGGGGCAGTACCTGTTTAGTTTGATTCCTTTGAAACTCTCGTCATCTACTATTTTTTTCATGAGAGAGGATTGTACATATGCCACAATAATGAATAAGTATGGTGACAAAGGCTCCCCCCGGCAAAGACCTCTCAAGGGCTTAAAGAAAGGGAGGGGTTCCCCATTAAACTTGATGCTAAGAGAGGTGGTGGAGACACATTGCATAATCCAAGAAACCCATCCCGTACTGAAGCCCATCTTTATCATGCATGCTTCTAGGAAATCACATTCAACTCTATCATAGGCTTTCTTAATGTCCAGCTGTAGAATTGCCTAAAATCTCTTTTTTTTTTTCTTGCTGATTCTCAACTAGTGAAGGACTTCATGTACCACAAGAATATTGTCTTGTATCTGTCTGCCGCTGACGTAGGTGCTTTGTTAGCCAGATTAGTGTGAATTAAAACAGACATAGTTAGTCTAGAACTAATAATGTTATCTATAGGAATTGTGGTAAGAGGGAGAATCTTAGAGGGGGTTTCCTTAAACGGAACAATGAGAAGGGTAAGGGAATAGGTTTGAGACTACCAATGATAATGATGAAATAGCTGATAATATTTTGGATAATGTTGATTATGTCTTGTTTATCACCCAGGATTCATCGTTTGATGGATTGGTTGTGGATTCTAGTTGTTCATTTCACGCTACACCATATAGGAATTGGTTTACTACTTATCATTGCACAGATAGTGGTAAAGTGTAGTTGGAGAAGAACGTTGATTACCACAATGTACGTGTTGGTGATGTCGGAATCATAATGTAAGACATATCGTGAGGACACTGATTGCAATGAGGCATGCTTTAGAGTCAAAGAAGAACTTGATTTCCTTGAGTGTCTTAGATTTAACTTGGTGTCGATATATTTAAGAAGGAGGAGTTCTGAAGGTTATTTGAGGTGCCCTGGTGATAATTAGAGGAATTAAGCATGGCGGCCTATATAAGGTTCAAGGTGAGACCATAACGAATTTCTTTGTGGAGAATTTAGATGTATTTGTTTGAGATTACAAATTATGGCATATGCGTTTGGGCATATTGGTGAGAAAAGCCTGAAGGTTGTAAGTGAAAGGAACCTGATATGTGGTTATGTACCTGAGAAACTGAATGTATGTAGGTGCAGTGACTTAGGTAAATAGCAAAAAATGCAATTGAGTACAATTATGTGGGAAACCATGTAAATTATAAATTTGATTCACTTGAATGTTTGCAGCTTGCCACGGTTTCCTTTAAGGAGGAGTGCTAGATTTACATCAATAGTGGTGGATGGCTACTCGAGGAAGACTTGGATATTTGTGCTGAGGCACAAGTTTGATACTATTTTAAGCATCAAACAATTGAGAGCTTTGATAAAAATAGAGACTGATAAAAAAATCAAGCATGTGTAGATGGATAGTTGCATGAAGTTCTATTCGGAGCTGTTAAACGGATTCTACATTAAGGCATAGTGAGACTTCGCACTAGTGGCAATGGATCACATCAGTTGCAGAATTGATGAGTGGAATATTACTAGAGATGGCCCGTTAAATGCTCTCTAGTGCAAGTATGGCTAGGAATTGTATGCACTTAGTACGACTAGCTACCTGAAGAATAGATCCCTATCAATTGTGATTGGATATCGATCTCTCGAAAAAGTGCGGTAAAGTAATGTTGCTAATTCTGTTCCTTGAATATTTGATTGCCTGTGTTATGTTTGAGAGAGTAATGACAAGCTCGATGGAAGGGAAAATAAGTGAATATTCCTAGGCTATGAATAAGATGAACGGGGCTATCGGTTAGGTTGTCTGGAATTAAATTCACATGTTGTCAATAGAGAAGTTACATTTGATGAGACTCCAATACTTCGAGGTAAAAGTGATTGAGGCAGTGTTTATACAAATTTAAATGATGTGCACCTCAAGGTGGAATTGCAATCATAAACTCTTGAGGTAGTAGATATTGATGCGGTAATCGACACATATGATACTTATGGCAATGTGGAGCCTGTAGAGCCAACATTTACTGTAACTGCTCAGTTTGACAAGGTGCAAATGTGCGATCTCCTGACAAATATGGATGAAACTATTGTTTTGC